TGCTCATGTAATCTGGAACACCTTGAAAAAAGATCTGAAGATAACTTTGATCTCCCTAAAGGATTTTAAACCATTGCTAAGTTCAATGAAAAAATCAATGCAGACATGTTCCTGTTTGTAATATTTCATCACACCGGTTTATAATGTAGCATGTTTTGTTATTTTGTTTTATATCACTTCTTTTATTTATTTTTCATTTTATATGCTTTCATATGAAAGTTTATTACTGTGTGTACCTCATCTGTGGTTTTTGTTTAAAACAGGTCTCTCGTGGAAACGAGTCCTCATGACTCAATGAAACAAATTTCCCAAAATCTCTCAACAGATTCTTTCACAGTAATCTTTTCCGAATGCATATGCATATGAATATATGCCACATAACTTCACATATACAGTGTTCATATGATGCGGGATGTGGATCCTTCCATCTGCATAAAGATCTAATATATTTTATTAAGCTTACAGTTTTCCTCCCTCAATTTATTCCATTTATTTTTGTAAACTTTCAGTTGTGTCCTTGCATCTGGGGTTGTCGCTTTGTTGCTCATCCTGGGCAGGTGGAAAGTGTGCCACAGCTGAGTTAATGTTTATGTCCACTCCATCCTGCTTCAACTTTTCCTCCATACTTTTATTTTGTAGTCTAAAACCTCTGCATGTCTCTCAATCTCTTTTTAATGGCTGGTGTGTGTGAAACGATGGAAGAAATCCAATCAAGCAACAGAGGGTCATCAGAGTTAGTATTTTTGTGTGTGAATAAAAAAATATATTTCAGTAAATCAAAGTATCAAAGTCTTAACATGTGACTAAAATCAGTGGTTGTATTTGCATGAACTCATATTCACTTATCAACAAATGATTTGATGACTTGCATTAACAGAAGTGACAAGAAAGAAAGTCAAATCAGGAGGAAAGGTTTTTAGTTCAAAATTCATTTTTTTCCTCCTCCTTGAATCGCCACCTTATCGTGGTGGAGGAGTTTGTATGCCTGAATGATCCTAGGAGCTATGCTGTCCCTAGTAGGATCTCCCAAGGCAGATTGGTCCTAGGTGAAAGGCTAGACAAAGAGTGATTCAGAAGACTTATATGGGCAGGACAAAACAAGGAACTCAGTGTCCCTTGCCTGGACGTGGGTTACTGGGGCCCCACCCTGGAGCCAGGCCTGGGGAAGGGACTTGTCGGTGAGCACCTGGTGACCGGGTCTCTACCAATGGGGTCTGGTCGAGCTCAGTCCAAAGGAGCAGCATGGGTTTGCCTTCCTGTGGACCCACCACCTGCTGGAAGGGTCATAAAAGTCGGGTACATGATGTCATGAGCAATAGCTGAAGGCAGAGACCTTGGCGCTCTGACCCTGGCTTCCCTAAGCTGGCTCTTGGGACATGGAATCTGACCTCTCTGGTGGGGTAGGATCCTGAGCTTGTGCATAAGGTTGAGAGGTACCAACTAGCTATAGTTGGGCTCACCTCGACACACTGCATGGGCTCTGGAACCAATCTCATTGATAGGAGCTGGACCTTATTCCACTCTGAAGTTGCCCATGATAAGTTGAGCTGGTGTGTGTCTACTTGTTGCTCCCCGATTTAGTGACTGTGTGTTGGAGTTTTAGCTAGTAGATGAGAGGGTGGCTTCCCTTCACCTTCGGGTGGGCCTGAATGATTGGACTCTGACTGTTTTTTGTACCTATGTGCTGAACAGCAGTTCAGAGTATCCGGCCTTCTTGGAGTCTTTGGCAGGCGTGCTGGAAGGTGCTCCAGATGGGGACTCCTTTATTCTGCTGGGGGACTTCAATGTCCACGTGGGTAATGACAGTGTGACCTGGATGGGCATGATTGGAAGGAATGGCCTCTCTGATCTGAACCCGAGCCGTGTTCTGTTGTTAGATTTTTGTGCTAGTCATAGTTTGTCCATCATGAATGCCAAACATAAGGTTGTCCATAAGTGCACTTGGCATCAGGACGCCCTAGGTCATAGATCAATGATTGACTTCATAATTATGTCATCTGATTTGTGGCCATTTCTTTTGGACACTCAAGTGAAGAGAGGAGCTGAGCTGTCAACTGATCACCACCTCGTAGTGAGTTAGATCAGATGGCAGGGGAAGATGCCGGACAGACCTGGTAGACTCAAAAGTGTAGTGAGGGTTTGCTGGAAATGCCTGGCAGAAGAACCTGTCAGAGAGAACTTCAACTCACACCTCCGGGAGAGCTTATTATTGTTGTTGGTGCTTTTTGCAGTGACCATCCATGAACTCAGTGGTGGACACCCCAGGTTAAGGAGGCTGTCAAGCTGAAGAAGGAGTCATATCGGGCAATGTTGGCCAGTGGAACTCCAGAGGCAGCTGAGGAGTATCAGAGGGCCAAGCGGTCCACAGCCTTGGCTCTTGTTGAGGCAAAAACTCAGAAGAGTTTGGTGGGAAGAGTTTGGTGAGGCCTTGGATAGAGACTCTCAGTCAACTCAGAGGAGATTCTGGCAAACCATCAGGTGACTGAGGAGGGGAAAGCATCACTTTACTAACACTGTGTTCAATATAGGTGGTGCGTTGTTGACCTCAAGCAGTGATGTCGTCGGGAGGTGGAAGAAATAATTCTCAGACTGTCTCAATCCCACCAGCATTCCTTCCATGGAAGAAGCTGAGTCGGAGAACTTTAGGACTGGTCCATTCATAACCATGGCTGAGGTTGCAGAAGTAGTTAAAAAAACTCAGAAGTGGCAGGGCTCTAGGAGTGGATGGGATTCACCCTGATTTCCTTAGGGCTCTGGATGTTATGGGGCTGTCTTGGTTGACACACCTTTGTAACATTGCATGGACATCGGAGAAAGCGCAATTGGATTGGCAGACTGTGGTGGTGGTTCCCCTTTTCAAAAAGGGGGACTGAAGGGTGTGCTGCAATTATAGGGCATCACTCTCCTTAGCCTCCCTGGTAAGGTCTATTCAGGCGAGTCTGATCGTTGGTCAAACCTTAGATCCAGGAGGAACAATGTGAGTTTCGTCCTGGCTGTGGAACACAGGATCACCTCTTTACCTTCACTAGGGTCCTTGAGGGGTCATGGGAGTTTGCCCATCCAGTCTACATGTGTTTTGTGGACTTGGAGCAGGCATTCAACCATGTTCCTCAGGGTACACTGTGGGAGGTGCTCCATGAGTATGGGATTGGGGGCCTGTTGTTAAGGGCTGTTTGGTCCCAATACAAGCGGTGCAAGAGTTTGGTTCACATTGCCAGTAGTAAGTCGGATCCCTTCAGGGTGGGAGTTAGACTCCACCAGGGCTGCCCATTGCCACAATTCTGTTCATAACTTTTATGGACAGAATTTCTTGGTGCAGCCAGGGGGCAGAGGGTTTCTAGTTCGATGGCCTCAGGATTCCACCTCTGCTCTTTGCAGATGATGTGGTCCTGTTGGCATCATCATGCTGTGATCTTCAGCTCTCGCTGGAGGGGTTTGCAGCTGAGTTTGAAGCGGCTGGGATGAGAATCACCTCCTCCAAATCTGAGGTCATTGTCCTCAACTGGGAAAGGGTAAATTGCTCTCTTCAGATCGAAGGTGAAATTCTGCCTCAAGTGGAAGAGTTCAAGTATCTTGGGGTCTTGTTCACGAGTGAGGAAAAACTGGAGCGTGAGATTGACAGATTGATTGGTGAAGCATCTGCAGTATTGCAGACTCTGTACTGGTCCATTGTGGTGAAGAAAGAGATGAGCTGTAAGACAAAGCTCTCTGTTTACCAGTTGGTCTACGTTCTTACCTTCACTTATGGTCACGAGCTCTGTGTAGTGACCAAATGAATTAGATTGCGGATGCAGGTGGTTAAAATTAGTTTTCTTCGCAGGGTAGCTGGACTCTCCCTTAGAGATAAGGTGAGAAGTTCAGTTATCTGGGAGAGACTCAGTGTTTAATTGCTACTCCTCTACATGGAGGGGAGCCAGTTGAGGTGGTTTGGGCATCTGGTAAGGATGCTCCCTGGGTGCCTCCCTAGGGAGATGCTTCGGGCATGTCCGACTGGTAGAAGACCCCAGGGAATATCCTGGACACGCTGGAGAGACTATGTCTCTCGGATGGCCTGGGAACACCTTAATCCTCCCAGAAAAGCTGGAAGAGGTGGCTGTGGAAAGATATGTCTGGGCCTCCCTGTTCAAGCTGCTGCTCCCATGACCTGACTTTGGAATAAGCAAAAGATAATGGATGGATGGATGGAATTCCTTTTTTCAGCTAGTTGTGAATTTATATTTGATTTGAATGTGAAACACATGGTGGACCAGAAGTTTAGTGGTCTCCAGGGCAGTAGGAAGTTTTGGAAGGGAGACATAATTTGCCAATTTAGATGAAGTGATAAATAAGAGTCAGAATGGAGGTGTTACCTACAGAGGTTGGTAGGCCAAGGATAAAGTCCAAGGCTATGTGCGACCAGGGCCTACTTGGGGTAGGTAATTTTTTGAAAAGACCAGTGTGAGGTTGGTTGCTGTGTTTGCTCCTTGCACAGGTGGGGCAAGAAGCCACATACTCCTTAATTTTCTGACTCATGTGGGGCCAACAGAAGTTTATTTTGCAGAAAGACAAAATTTGGTTAAACCCTGGCAGGTCAACATCAATGTGTGAACCCATTCAAGGACATATTATTTTATTGAGTTAGAGAAAAGTTTACCAGATGGACCAATACCTGATCTGAATTTCGGCACTGAGTCTTTTAGGTGTGCCGATTGAGACCGGCTGCACGTCTGTTTGCTCGACTGAATGTTGACAGACTGAATGTGATCTTTTGTCCCTTTCTATTAATGCCATCCTGCATTAATAGATTTGTTTATTCGAGTGAGGAGTTACTGGAACTAACAAACTATGCCAAGGCTGGTATACGCCACCTGATTCCTAAGGAGCTAAGGCGCAAGTACCGAGGATGTCGAGCTGGTCGTAAGCACAAAGCCAGAATGTGGGCTAGAGCTGAAAAGTGGAGGCTTTCAAAACCACCAGTTCCCTCTGTGGTTATGGGAAATGTTAATGCACTGTCCAACAAGATGGATGAGCTTACCACATTGATCGGGAGCCAGCAAAGCTACAGAGACGCCAGTCTGCTTATCTTCACCGAGACGTGGCTAACCAGCTACATACTGGATGGTAACGTGGACCTGCCCGGCTACTTCGCTGTGAGAGCTGATCGGGATACCAATTCCAGCGGAAAAAAGCAAAGGAGGGGGACTCATCCTGTATGCTAACAAGCGCTGGTGTCACCCTAATCATCTGACTGTTAAAACTGTAAAATGCAGTCATGACTTGGAGCTGCTAGTGGTTAGCATCCGACCTTACTACATACCACGTGAGTTCTCACACATCATCATGCTCTGCGTCTACATACCTCCGAAGGCTGATGCCGAGGCAGTGCGTGTGTCTATATTAGGGCATTAACAGAGTACTCGAGTAATCTACACATCGATTGCTTGGACATCTATCGATGTTAAAAATGTAAAGTCGGGTATCCGTAGTGACGTCATATTATGTGACCACATATGACCATAGGGGGCGGTGTTGCACAGTTGCAGGTCACAGAGTATGGTGTAACACCGGGTCCTATCCACCGAACCAGAACCAGTTTCTGTTTAAGTTTCGTTTTTGACGTGCTGCGTTTCTTCACGTTTGTAGTTTAATAATAATAACTAATGGTTTAGATTTTCCTGTGACTTATTTGTAGTATGATAAATGGTAGGAGCCTAATATACGCTCCCAATGTTTTGTTGGTCTTTTTTTTTTGTAAATAATTACCTTTTTTGCAGTTTTATTTATTTATTTATTTTTGTATCTTGAGACCTATGACGTCATCAAATACTCGAGTTCTACTCGGGTTTTATTATGTTATGTCGAGTTTAAAAATTATATACTCATTCAACCCCTAGTCTATATTCAACACGACTATGGAGCTACTATTTCAACACCCAGATGCATTTTTCCTCATTTCTGGGGATTTTAACCATGCCACTTTGGGTAATACTCTTGCCTCCTTCCACCAATACGTAAGCTGTCCCACTAGGAAAAATAAAACATTAGATCTGTTGTATGCTAATATCAAGGATGCATACTCTGTCTCACCCCTCCCTTCCTTGGGTAAATCTGATCATAACCTTGTTAATTTGCAACCCATATATACTACTCTGGTGAAGAGGCAAACTGAAACTACAAGGCAGGTCAGAAGGTGGTCCCCTGAAGTAGAGCATGAACAAAGGGGTTGTTTTGCCACTACTGACTGGAATTTATTGGTTAACTCACATGGGGATGACCTGGAGGGGGCGGTGGGGTGTATGACAGACTTTTTGAACTTTTGTATGGTCCAGGTGGTACCTGTTAAAACAGTAAAGTGCTTTGCCAACAACAAACCGTGGATCACTGCTGGAGTGAAGGAAGTTCTTAATAATAAGAAAGGACATTTAGGAGCAAAGATTGGGTGATGCTGAGGGAGGTACAAAAAGAACTGAGAATCTGTCTGAAGGAGGCTAAGGAGGCATATAGCAAAAATCTTGAGAAGAAGCTGGAGGATAATAACATGCGTGAAGTCTGGAATGGCATGAAAACTATTACTGGTTGCAGCAGCAGGGGAAGGGTGGGCTGTATGGACCTCCAGAGAGCTGAGGATCTGAACTCATATTTTAATCGGTTCAGTCCCCCAGTGACCAGCTGCTCACCCCCACCGGCCTCCCCTGATCATGTACATACTGTTCCTCTTCAAGATGTCTCTCTTCCATTCTTGGAGGTGGCAGCCACTCCCATCTTAACGCCTCCATCCATCACGGTGGACCAGGTGACCAGGGAGCTACAACATCTCCATTTGAAGAAGGCTGCAGGTCCAGACCAGGTCAGCCCGAGTCTCTTGAAAGCCTGTGCTGAGGAGCTGGGTGAACCCTTACAACAGGTCTTCAACTTGAGTCTGAGACTGGGGAGAGTTCCTTCACTGTGGAAAACATCCTGCATCGTTCCAGTTCCAAAGAAGACACAACCCCGGGAGCTTAATGACTATAGGCTAGTTGCACTCACATCACATGTGATGAAAACACTGGAGCGACTCGTCCTTCAGCTTGTTCATCCTCAAGTGTTGGCGGTGAGAGACCCCCTTCAATTTGCTTACAAGGAGAAGATGGGTGTTGAGGATGCTGTTATGTACCTCTTACATTGTGCCCTCACATACCTTGATGTGGGTGGGTGTATGGTGAGGATGCTATTCCTTGACTTATCCAGTGCTTTTAATACAATCGATCCCAGCCTTCTCCAGGAGAAACTGAACACCATGTCTGTGGACGCCCACCTGGTGTGCTAGATATCGGACTATCTGACCAACAGGCTCCAGTTTGTCCGAGTTGGGGGTTGTAGGTTCTCAACATTGATCAGCAGTACTGGAGCACCTCAGGGTACAGTGCTCTCGCCCCTCCTCTTCAGTCTCTACACCACTGACTTTCAGTACAACTCTGATACATGCCACATGCAGA